ATTTCATGTACTCCTGGCATTGCACTCGCCAAACACTAGGAGTATGTGTACCCATGGTTGGGAATCTCTGCCCTAGATCATTTTTATAGACCTTTTATAGCCAAAGAGGCATTTTCTCCAAAGTATGGGAAAGTAAAAGTCCTTTAGAGCCACAAAATATTTAATGAGTCTCTAATAAAACACAACCTATTGGTTTTGTTAAAAACTACTATAGGAAGTATTTTGCCATCTTAAACAACCAAGTGGTTATATGTATTTTTAGCTTTTAAAATGAAGAAAAAGATGAAAACAATTCATAAAATTGAAGAGTGGATTTTCTTCTAAGGGGTGTTATTTAATGTTAAAAAGAAAAATTCTTAATTTGTTCATGCTTCCGGTGGTTTTCACCTTTATTCCACTCTGTAATCTCATGAGTGCAGTCTTTGTTCACTTAACAATAAAAAAAAGAAAAAAATTAAAAGGAAACTGTTTTGAAAAGTTCATTATTCCTTCTTTTCCTGCTTTGTGTGTCAACTGACACGGTTGCTAGGCAACAGAGCGTATGGCGGAGAAAGCAGCCGAAGGCTAGACCTGTTTGAATTCACAGCCAAAACTCTTCCAGTCTCTTTATTTTCACAGACATCAAAGGATCCAGTCCAGGTAGACTAGGGGAAAAAACACAGCCCATGTTTGTTTTCCCCTGACATCTGCTGGTTGTTGATTTCCTGTTTTTTGGTTCCTGGATTTTGTTTCTGTTGCTTTTTTTCATTAAATCAGCAAAACTGATCTCTGACTCCTCATCTCTGCATTTGGGTCCCCAATCAACCTGCACCCAATCTGCCACTAGTGACTGAATGCATATGTTTCCATTTCTGGAAAAAGTAATTATTACAGGTCCACTCCTAAGATCTTAAAAAATACATGTTAACTTCAGTTATCATTAGTGTTTTCTAAGGTTCTTTGGTGAGTTTTTAATTCATGATCAACTAACTACGGTGTGAAGAACATTGAGAGGCTTCTTCCCTTCAGACCCTCTTCATTGGAATGAATTATCATGATTTCACATCTTTTTTATTTTTATCTTTTTTACATTTTCATTGGTACTGTTGTGTGATAAAAAAGAATTCTTTTTAAGTTTCAAAACAGTCTGACACAGAATACTCCACTATGATTTTCAAAAGGTTTTAAAAATAATGATTGGTATCTTTTTAAACACATTATGCATTAGTTCCAGAGCATTAATGCAGTCCATGCCTGCAGGTCACTGCTTCAGCTGCTAACAGCTGAGAAAGGAAGTGCAATCAGAAGCTGTGATCATGTTACATAAACTCAGCATAAACATTTCCAGCGCTAATGAGGTTTTTGGGTTGTGTGTTGAAGGTATTTTGACTGATAGTTATCTCAGGATGCTTCATTAGAGTAAAAGCCATAGCACTGTTTATCGAGGCCCAGATTCCAAATTTAAGATATCATCTTTCTTCTCAGCTTGAACAAAATCTGTGCAAGCATGCTTCCATTAACTGTAGAGCAAAAACAGGCAGATATCTTAGTGGCTGCAACTAGACATGTTCCTTTAGTGAGAGGTGGAAACCACATAACATACCTTGAGTGGCATTGCTGCTATTAATTTTTTTTTATTCAGTTGAAAGTTGCTTAACTATTCATAAACCTTGAATTTGTTGTTTGCACTTCTATGGTGACATATTGGTGACATATTGGCTTAATTACAGCCACTCAACAGAAAGACGCATGCATGTTTGCTCCTTTGGGTGTGTAGGTACAGGTCTGTTTTCTTGCTATGTATATATATATATATATATATATATATCAATATATATCAATATATATCAATATATATATCAATATATATCAATATATAATGAAGAGCATGTGTTAACTTCCATTGACATCCCTTGAGTTTTTTGTCTTCAAGCCTTTCTATGCTGTAACCCTTACATTAACTCTAACCCTAAACCTCGGCATTTGACTGCTCACACTGGGCCTGGCTCTGCTCGAAGATTCTTCCTGTCAAGAGAGTTTTTCTCTCTACTGAGTGGGGTAGCATGCAAAGGTATGCTGTACAGTCACTTTTACCTTTAGTAAAATTCACTTTCCAGGGAACCAGGACTTTTGCCAGTGCTCCCACCCCATTCCCTGTTTTTGGTCCCCAGATGCAGTGAGATCAGATGCGGTACTAAACATTTCAGGGGCCCTAAGCAGCCAGTTTTCATATCAAAAAGGATGAGAGAGCACACATAGTTAGTCTAAAAAGCTAAGCATAGTTTAGGATAGAAGCAGAACTAAACACCTTAAAACAGACCCAACACTATCATCTGTAATGGAAGTTGTTGATGGACCCAGCATATATAGAATGGGTCCTTTGAAGGATGTAGCCCCTTGCCCCTAGTTGTAACGCACCCATAATGTGTAAAGTTGAATACAGACACTAAGATGTAACTAAATAACAGAGACACCTTTTTCTCTCTTTCTCTAACTACAATTTTCCGTTTTTTGTTCTTCTTACTGTTTGATTAGGATCACCAAACAATTTTTTTTCTTTGCTTAGATTAAACTTTAAGACATTTTGTTTCCTAAAATTCAGCAATAATGTAAATAATATCTGGGACATAAAATGTGCCTCCTTATTTAACAGTATGATAGCTTGAGATTCCCCTTTCAATAGTCAATATGATGCCCACAAATGTTCAGAAACGCCCTCTCATCTGATGTAAAACAGGAAATAACTAATAATAACTTCGTTTTTTGTCATCTGACTGATAAAGTTTCTATCCAAATGTGTATTTTACTTTAAAATACTTTTTTTCAAAGTAGAATATTTCATTTTTTATTCCTTTAGGAGTACCACCCACAAAAAAAGTCTATTTGCATGAATAAATGCTTTAGGTAATGGCTGAACTAAGTAACAAAATTTCCACAGGTAAAATACTTTTCCTTTCACACGACGTTGTAAATCGAGGTTTCTGAATCATGCAAAAAATCTCTAAATTATCTGAGACTCAAAGCCAAGGCCATTAATGGTTGGGAGGGAAACTGTCTTACTGCAAATTATGTTTCACTTAAGGCAGACTGCTAGTATTACATATAGCTATGCTGAATAAGGTTCATTTGCAGCTG